TTGTAAAGATCTCTGCTGCTGTACTTACAATTGTAACGTTTAACAAAACTCCGATAGCATTCCATACCAAATCACTTATCAGGGACAGGTACCACTCAACTGCGAAGAAGAAAAATTAGAACAAGAAGAAACCAATTTATCCACGAGTCTTAAATTTGGGTGAAGGAAAGCTGTTGGATTTTGTACCAAAAATTAAGTTTGTTATTATCGTACTTTGTATTAAAAAAAAAGAAGAAATATTGTGATTTTCTTTTCCAAAATCAACCTGATCCTGTGCCATTTAGGAAGAAGAAAAATGGATAAAAACTTGAACCATTTTGGTGTGAAATCTGTGTTGCAAAATTCCAGATAACTTGTGAGTATAGAGTCTTGGATTTTTACTCTGATGAATTGTGTCCTCTGCAATACACTCTCAGTTGGAATAAACTTGGAAGAATGACTTTAAAAATGAAACAAGTCGTGTGTGCTGTCTTTATTTGTTGTGTTACTTTTACTGATGGTTAATATGTTACGATGTCAGGTCATGCCATTGTAAATCCACGTTGAGGCCACAATTACTTGATTATATGGATCACATTGTTGTGCATTTCCAAAAAAAAATGCCTAAGGCCACAGTAAGTAATTTTTATGGATGACATCAATGCGCTCATTAATTTTCGCCTGATTTTGGAAAAAAAAAAGAAATTTTGTTGCCCTCTGACAGTGGTCAACATGCCGAAAATGGGCAAACATGTCTATTGCCCTGCTAGATGGTGGATGGAAGATAACTATGAAGAGAGGAGACAAGAAATGGCTCTGATTTATTGTTTTGTTTCTTATTTTGATGCAGTGATATGTGATGCTGGCTGTGTATATGTGATGTTCCCACTGAATCAAAACCATTTGTACAATGAATGAGTCTAAATTTGAAAATGTAGAAACCTTGTTTTTTCTGCCTGCCTGTTTTTTCTCGCCCGCTCACATTAGATTTGGAGCCTGCAGTGGATGTCATCCATAAAATTTACTTGCTGTGGCCTAACAGTAAAAAAAATATGCTGTTGTATACTATTTAGCTGTATCAGAAAACCGATACTAGTATAACTGCCGTTTTCTATCGTATACGCAATGTTTTACACAATTTCTATCAGTACAGAGTGCAAGTCCTGACAGATACTGGCTGCGAAGTTACAAGTGAATGTACATGGATCAAAGGCGACTTCTAGCAGTTAAATGAAGGACTGCACCATTATGTTGGCTAAACGATCATACTACTGCAGTGCTTTTTGGGCCACTATGGGGCGTTCCGGTTAGCCATGGCGATTTCAACACCAAGTGGCGATTTCAACACACTAAGATTTGCTACCCTATTTTCTTGAATTGCAGAGTATGTAGTAAAATGGATAGGTTTCAGAGGAAAAAGAGAATTTGACCGAGGAAATATGTGTCAGAAATGTAGAAGGAGGATTTCTTTCAGTCTGAAAGAGTAACACAGTGATTTGGGTATTCTTTAAACCTCAATTTAGTCTGATTCAAGATGTATTTATTGAAAGTCCCAGAAGCACACAATGATTTTTAGCATGACGACAGTTAACTTTATATGTTGATAATAGAACGTTTATAAAAGTTTGATTTCCTCTTGTATTTGTCATTGCTCGTGTCAAAGGCTACCACAATGTAAGACATAACCTTTGGTCAACCAAGAGTGATCTCAAGATGTTTTGAAGTTACCAATGCAGGAAAACTCGCATCCAGCTGGGGAAAATGATTTGGATTATTAAGTCCTGTTCAGACGAAAGCGCAGGAAGCGCATTGGATCCAGATCCACCGAAGCGGGATTCAAGTGGCCCCATCTGAACGCTCCAAATCACATTGAAAGCACCTCGAACCATGGGCGATAGGCCACCGAGTTTTTGTTGAGATCGCTGTTGCTTTGTTTTATGAACACTCGTATACTGTGCACTCCGTACAAGATTCCCGATAATCATACACTGAACACAAACACTATGAACACGGTCCGTTGAAAGGATCCGAAGAGTCATGAACTCAA